TTGTTGTCGTCGTCGTGGTTGTTGTTGTTGTTGTTGTTGTTGTTGTTGTTGTTGTTGTTGGTGGTGTTGGTGTTGGTGTTGGTGTTGGTGTTGGTGTTGGTGTTGGTGTTGTTGGTGTTGGTGTTGGTGTTTGTGTTGTTGGTGGTGGTGGTGGTGGTGGTGGTGGTGGTGGTGGTGGTGGTGGTGGTGGTGTCGTTGTTGTTGGTGTTGGTGGTGATGGTGGTGCGGGGATGGGTGCGAGTGGGGCACGTGCGGGGGCGGGCGCTGTTGTTGCTCCTTGCTGTTGCTTCAGGTTGCTGGTGGTGATGGCGGTTGCATCCCTGTTATTTCGGTTGTCGCTTGCTGTTTGTTTTTCTCACCTGGGGATGCTCGTCAATGGATTTGCTGTCATACGAGATCGAAGTGGAGACTTCTCCTTCTCAGTCCGGACTCCTTCAGCAGGTTGTTAGCGTAGGGTCTCGGCAATGCTGCTACCCCTGGCGTTGGCTTAATGGCTTAAACCTCCAGTGCAACTATTTCCATGCTCTACATTCATGACGTTCGATCATCGACATGCAAAAGCTATAGGACAAATATTAAAGTAGGTTTGGCATAGCAAACTGGGAAATATAGGGTCTCTCTCTTTCCTCTATTTTCCTAAGGTTTGTTCATACGTCTTCATTTGTTCTTCAGTTGTTCAACCTATTTTGTTTTAATGTTTTTCTAGGAGTTTACGAGTTGTCCAGTCATTCCCCAATTACCCACCAAATTTGTTCCTGCAAGATTCTTATTAAATCTTATTGTGTCTATTACTTTCCTAAGTTTCCAATCTTGTCCTGGTTTCCTATATAGCTGTTGTCCTGCAGTGTTTGTTCCTACAGTTGTCCTGACTTGTCCTATGCATTCTACATATTTCTGTCCTATGACTGTCCTACTTACTTTGTTACAGCGATTCCTAATGGTATTCACGTCGGATCCGTCTTGTATGTTCCCCTAGTTTAAGAACATGTCCATATGCTTGGACGTCATAAATAACTTCAGACTAGACTCTAGATCTGACTGTGATAACTCTCCGGTAATGCGTCCTGAAGCCCAAGACGATCTGCACCCGACAACAAATCCCATGCTCAACCCGATCCCCGACGACCTGGATAATCGGGCCAAGATTCAGACAGCCGCGTAGATTGCAATGTCTTTTTTTTGACCACTGGATCGGCCTTTCCGCATGAGAGCTGCCAAAGTTACCAGGAGTTGAAAGCTATCGGCCGTGCCCTTAGCCTGTTGAAATATTCTATCACTTTGTGTGGCGGTTCCCGTGCTTTGCCAAAATCAAGTCACTGCCACACTACCGGAAACCTCGGAGAATTTGCACTGGGCTTCAGGTGTTTCAGCGATGCCAATCGCATAGGCTTCCATCAGGTATGCTCCGTCAACAATGGACACATTCACGACATTGCATGGCCGATCTCGAAGGCTATTAACCTGAAGCCCCTGTGTGACTCCATGCTCACAACAAATCCTTGTAGAACGTCTCATGAGTCAGCGTAAGGGCGAAGCTTAGCAGGGGAGTATTCTGTGGATGAACCTCCAGGTGACCACCGAATCATCGAAAGCCAAGTGGACAGGCCTGATTTGGAGCTGCTGGTTTGAGTTGAGGAAATCTAGAATTAAGAGAGGATTGCACCGGTGAAAATGGACGGGCTTACGGCCAGGCAGGGCTGTAAGACAACTTAAAACGAACTGTTCAGAATCTCAAGATTCTTGACTCAAGATCTGACACTGGCTCATGCAAGCACAGGTGTGCATGAGACACAGCTTTTTCGCTGGTCACTCCTTGCAAAGCTTTCCTGGCGCGAATGCCAGAACAAGCGCAGGTTGCCCAGTGAAATCCTTGTGGATTTTGACATGTTCGTGGACATTGTGGATGCCTGCCGGCATGAATTTGTGGATCAGCCCGGGCCCAAACTCTTGAAGTGAATCTGCGATTTGGCACTTCATGGAAGTCATTGCCCAAGAAGGAGGTATTGGTAAGTGTTGTTGTTATCGTTTCCGAGCTGTTACAGCCAAATTGGTGATGTTTGTCGTGCAGGGAGAAGAAGAAAGCCGGCTTCAGTGATGACGAGCTCGTGCCTGAGCCATGAGCAACTGTTGAGGTTCTAGGGTCCAGGGATGTCCAGGTTTTAGTGACTGGCCAGAAACGCAGACGCAACAACGGGACTGGTCATGCCCTGCCTGTGACAAGTATTGCTGGCAGCGAGCAGCGGCGTGGCCGACATTTCCCTGCAATCTGGAGTGTAATGGCGGCATTGGGACAATCATTGGTAACATATTCACTCATGCTGCTGTCATGTTTGAACTTGCCTACATGGTTTCCAATTCTTGGCATGCACATAGAATGGCACAGACAGATCGGCTTGCAGTGCGAAGACCTTTCGTGCATCGCTTTGTGCCAAGGCTCCAGATGTACGTTGATCAATTCAACAAGTTTGTGCGCCTGGCAGTTATCCATCTTGATCAGCAAGTTTATCCAGTCCAACTGGGCAGTGCCAGTCTTTCGGGAGGTTCGGTCCAGCATCTTGGTTACGGCTGTAGTTGTGATTGAAGGGTTCAGGGTTTAACAAGCTGTCAGGGGTTTATAGTGCCGACGGGCTTGTGGCTTACCTATGGCGTAACAGGATTTTAGTGGTCGGGGCTGACGGTATCAATGCCTTTTGCCACTCCGGTGTTTCTCAATTTTCAGGATTTAGAGTTTAGGGTGTCGTGTAATTAGAGCTTGCTACGTTGCACCCCTTATTAAGTCCTATATTAGATGCTAAGCCCTGAAACCCTCAAGCTAACGTGAACAACCCAGTAGAACGTGAGAATAAACCCGAAGACTCAAAACCAGTCACAAGACAACCCTACAAGAGCCCTGCATAAGCAAAGCGCAAAAGAGCCCGCAAGACGTAAACTCTACCTGTAGTGTCCATTGTAGTGCCTTTTTTTGGTTTAACCAATTATATATTAAGGATTCTATACGGTAACCCAAAAAAGGAACTACAATGGAGCTATAGGTAAACTAACCTCTGAAAACCCAAAGCCCTTGGCCCTTCTGAGTCTTGCCTGCTCGCATCAGACTCGAAACCTCAACCCCCAGCCCTGCCCCTAAGCAAGCTGCCTGTTTAGGGTTCTTTAATATGACTTCCTCATGCTCGGAGTTATGTCAGGTAATGCCCTATAGACCCTAAACCCTCCAGGCATCTCATTGCAAAAAGCTCCCGCAGCGCTTGGCCAGGATCGGGATGGGAGCGGATCCATTGAAGGGAAAGAGCTCCTCAAGCTCCTGGAGGCTCTCATAGTTTAGGGGTTAGGGTTCAGGGTTAGTGATAGCTGGCGGACGAGTGGCTAACTACCAGGCACCTGCAGCAAAAGGGTTGTAAAGAGGAGGCTTAGGATTCAGGATTTCTACACCCGGTTTCCGGTAGCATTTTTGCTTGGAGGTTCAGGGGTTAAAGTTAAGTTGGGTCTAGCGGTTTAAGGTTCGTGAGAGTCTTGTGATCTGTGGGGATGTTGGAGGGTTTACAGCAGCGTGTAGCATTCAGCAGAAACTATCAAACTGTTCGTTTCTATGGGCCTGACGGCAGCGGGGTCCAAAAGTTTATGGGAGTTTCTGAAGCTGTTTGGATTGAGGGTGTGCGGTGAAGTTTGCCGAGGTACGGTTCACACCCCCAACAGCTTCCGATCCTGCAGCCAAGCGAGGAAGAAATGATGTTTGCTATGCTTCCATCGGTCAAAATTGGATTTGTCAAATCTGTGCTGGGGCGCTGCTACAACCAAGCTTGTTGAGGCCACTCCCTGCAAGATAACATGTTTTACAACACCTGCGACAACACCTCACGCATAACCTGGCCCCAGCTCTGCATTCTGAACCTTTTGCATTCCTTGGAATCCCAGACACGCCCAACCTGTGCCCTGATAGGCTTTCAAGTGGGAGCCGAAATCAAAGCAGGACCGCGAGGCCTTCTGCGTAGGGGGAGCCAGAAAAAGTAAAACATAAAGGTAGGCATGGTTGTGCAGTTGTAAAAAAGCACTGGCTGGCTTGAGCGTGCATATCTCTGTCTCTGTGGTCGTGCGTGCGTGCGTGCGTGCGTG